GGAGGCCCCGATAATATATATATATAATTAGTAATTTATAAGCCTAATACTTATAATATAAATAGTAATTAGTTATAAAGTTAAAGAACTTTTAATCTCCCTAATTAATACCTGTAATATCCGAGGTTCGTTATATGCTCTTAAGTCACGTGCGACCCTATATATATTATATCTTTAAATTAAATATTTCTATTAATATTAAATATCTAACCTAATATTTCTAATTCCTTAAATATTCTATTTATTATATAAGCTATAGCTACTAGTTTTATAAACCTTCTAATTTATCTAATTATATTTAATATAATAAAATAGAAAATATTATTTTTAATTTATTAATTTTAGAAGTTCTATATTTATTATAATTAAAAATATACTAGATTTCTAATTCGTTTTATTTATTTCCAGAAATATTAATATTTATATTTTTAGCTAGACTATTCTCTTATTTATTATTTCTTAAAATAATATTCTTTTAGCCTCTTATATAAGATAGCTTTTCTTTAGCTCTAACTCGTTTTTAGAAAACCTTTTTAGTTATTTCTATCTCTTTTCTCTTTTTCCTTAATAAGAAACTCGTTATAATATTAATAGAAATATTATTTATTAATTTCAGAATCTGAAAGATTAGTAATTCTAATATAATTTTCTTTAAAATAAAGTAGCTATTTAAATTCCCTAAATATAACTTACTTGCTTTTATATATAAATTCCGATTAGCTAGTTTTCTTATTTCTTTTTTATTTAATAAACTAGATATCTCTTATTATTTTTTGGATATTCTTAAATTATATTTTTAAATTATAATTAAATTCTTTTTTTCGGATTTAGGAAATAATTTAATTAAACTACTAGTATTTATTAATAAGAAAAAAAGAAATACTCTTTTATTTAGGCTTAAATAGGCCTTTATATTATCTTCTATTAAATTAATAAATATATTTATAATTTATAAGCTTTTCTATTAATAAATAATAAAACTAAAAAATATAAATATATTTTAAATTAATATTATTATTATTATTTCTATTATAATATCTATAGTAAATTCGTTCTTTTAGTTCTAAATTTATATTATAGGCTATATTAACTTAAATAATATTTTCTAAAACTTTTACTATAACTTTTAATATATTTTTCTTAAAAACCCGAATTATATTTACTAGACTATTAATACTATTATTTCTATTATAATTAACTAGATTATATAAATAGATTATAAATATTTTTTTGAATTATAATAATAGCTATATTAAATTATTTTTATAAGTTCTTTTAAGTTATAATAATAATAGATAGTTTTTCTAGATTTCTTATTAGCTAGTTAATATTATTTCTCTTAAATTTACTACTTTTAGTAGACTTTATATAATTAGCTATAAACTAGATTTTCTTTTTATTTATATCTATAATAGCTTTAGGAAATATAATAAAAGTATTAGTTTACTAGAAATATATAATACTATTATATAATTATAATATTAATATATAATTTCTAAATTTACTAAGCCTAATAAAAACTAGCTACTAATTGAGTTATTTATATAATATAAGATTATATAATTATTTCTTATTACTTATATCTCGTTATTTCTAGTTATCTCTATATTATATAACTATTAATAACTATAACTATATTAATAAAATAAAACTAATAAAAAGTAATTATTTTCTAATTTAGAAATTATATTATAGATTATTATATTTAAGTATTCTTATTTAAGTCTAGATATATCTGAATTATTAGTAATATTAAAATAGTATTTCTTTTTTTTATATTAATAAAATATTATTACTTTTTTATATATTTTACTATATTTATAAATAAAAATATAATCTTTTATTAGAATAAATAATTCTCTTATAAATTCCCGATATTAAATAATTTCATTTATTTCTTTTTTTTAGTAACTTTTTTAATATTTTATTAAATATATTAATATAAGACTTGAAAGAAATTCCTTTATTCTAGGCTTATATAATAATCTAATTAAGATAGTTATAGCTAATTTTAAATATTTCCTAATTATATTCTCGGAATTCCTTTAATAAAGCTTTAAAGAACTTGATTTTCTAATAATTTCCTGAATTATTAGTATAATATTCTAATATAACCTTAATCTAATTCTTATAAATAAGAGAAATATAATAGATAATTCTCTTTCTTTTAGTATTATTAGAAATATAATAATTTTTATATATATTTATATATTATTTCAAAAATATAGAAATATTATTTCCCTAAAATTATAATATTTTAGAAGTTCTTATAAATAGCAGATTTAAATCTAATACTAATATATATTTATTTTTAGCTATATTAATTTTAATAATTTCTTTTATAACTAATTATAGAGTTTTTATATTTGAGATTTCTATTAATAATATTTTAAAGAGCTAATTTCCTGTTTAAATATATCTTTTTATTTAGGAACCGGAATTTAAAAGAAACTAATTAATAATAATAAATAAAGTCTAGATTCGAGTTTTAATATTAATAATAATAAAGTAATAGCTTTTTTAGTTTTATTTCTATTATTTATATTTTCTTTTCTATTTTATTAGCTTAATATTTATAATATTCTTTTTTATTTTTACTAAATTAGATATATTTAATAGTATTATTAAAAGTAATAATAATAATAATAAATATAATTTTACTAATTTCTCTAATTTCTCTAAATTTTATTTTTTATTTTTATTTAATATTCTTTTCTTTTTCTAGAAACTTTTCTAAATTATTTATATAATTTCTTATTTCCGATTTCTTTTTAATTCTTATTTCCGGTTTCTATTTACTATTTTACTTGAAATTAAGGGCATTTCTTATTTCAGGTATTTTTTCCGGATTTAAAAGTAAACTTTATTACTAAAACTAAAACTGCTTTTATTTTAGTCTTTATTATAACTAAAAATAATATAATTTTATTTCTATATATTAAAGTCTATTTCTAATTAAGGTTTAACTTATATTATTTTAGTATAATATTTTCTATTTTATTTTCTTTATTTCTTTTCCTTTTATAATTAGCTTCTATTTTTACTATTTCTATATATTATACTAGTAATTATATTTTATAGCTAATTCGTATTCTAATTATTAAATATATCAGAAATTAATATAAGATACTAAAATTAATACTTATATATTTTTAATATTTTAGCCTTAAATTTAAGGTATTATAATAGATCTTTTTTTCTCTAAACTTACTAAGCTAATAATTCGCTTTATAGAAATCCCTTAGAACTTTATAAGAATATTACCTTAATTATAAAGTTTTAATTTACTTATATTACTTATTATAAAATATATAAAAAGGAAACTATAATAAAATAAAAACTTATATAAAGTATATTAAAGTATAAAACATAATATAATAATAAAATAATAAAATTAAAAGTATAAATAATAAAGTATAAATAATATATAATATATAAAAGCTTAATTAATTAAATATAAAAAATATATTATTATTTAGAATTATAGAAAAGCTAGCTTTTTTATATAATTTTTATAAGTTATATATAAAAAACCCTAGTTTTTATTATATAACTAAAATATTAAAACTATTAAAATAAAGCAATTTTAAGAAAGTACGGCTTGCTATATTATACTATTCTTATTATATATTATTTAATAGTAATATATTAATAGCTATTTTATAATAATAAAATAAATAACTAGAATTAATATATTTTCAAAATACTGGAATTTATTTATTTCATCTAATATTCTAATATAGAATTTATTTAAGATATTAGTCTACTATTATATTATTTTCTTATTTAGTAAAATATTATTATATAATTAGTATATATTTCTTAAAATAGCTTTAGCTATAATTAAAATTTATATAAGATAAGAATTCTTAATATTCTTATTATTTATATTAAGCTCTTTTTTTAGTAATAGCCTATATAAGCTTTAAATCTTTTTGTTTTTTTAATATAATTAAGTAATATAGAAATCCTATTAAGTTATATAGCTATAATATTCTTTCTAACCTTAAATCTCTAATATTCTAAATTATAATTACTTGTTTCTTAAGATTATATTTTATATTCTTGTAATTCTTCTCTAATTACTTAAATAATTCTTTTTTAAATTATATTAATAAAATAAAATAATTATTAGATACTAAAAACTTCTTTCTTTTATTATTATTTATAACTATAAAGTAATTAATTCTCCTATATTCTATAAAATATATCTAAAGCTTAATTTCTTTTTATAATACGGTTTTTTTATAAACTATAGCCTTAATTTAATGAACTAAAGGCATATATTTCTTTATTTCACGAAAATAATAAATACTATATTAGTATTTTGGCTATAAATAATAAAAGCCATTATAGTAAGCCAAGTACTTAATTACTTGATATTGGCCCTCGATTCGAGGCTTATACTCTTTTAGCTCTTTAATTATCCTCAGATTATAGCTATTCAAGAGCTAAACTATAGTCTTAAGCTTTCTACTAGAAAGTCGGTGTAATTCTGCCCGTAAGTAATACTCTTGGCTTGAGTACCCAGGAATAATACAGGACTTGCAGACATGGCACACGACTACTTGATGTATCGGGTTATACGAAAACATTATGCTCATACGCAAAGAGAGTTGAATTTGGGACGGAAATGGGGGTATCGGAAAACTGGTGTCTTACCGAATGGTGTCTTACCGGAAACTGCCTTAGTCAGCGGCGCTCGGGCCAATCGCAGCACCCGCATTCTGGTGTTTTACCGAAACACCACGCTCACATAAGAGGTAGGCCCGTCGCTGCACCAATGAAATATTGATGTCCTTCTGGGGCCGGTAGAAGAGTAGAACATGCCACATCATATTACCGATTGTCAAATCCTCATAATCCTCGCGTCTGTGGCTCTGCAAGAGGTTGACCATGCCTAGCTTGGGCACGATGTCTACGGTGTTGAGAGCAAAGGCGTTTATAGGTTCGCTGTTTGATGTCAGAAGTTATCATATCATACTACTGGTTGACACAACTTACTCGTGACGGTTCCAACATCTCACATGAGGATCAGCGCCTTCTTGCAGAAGAAATTTCGCAACATCCAATTGCAGACATTGAGAGGCTACCTGTAATTGTATTAGATAGGGAGGGGAAGTGAGCGATCACTTCCATGAGTCGAGTTGTGTGACGACTCACAAATAATGGTGTTTGACCCTTTGGATCGCGGTCCCACGGCGAACCTTCGTTTCTCTTAAATAGCGACCTCACACCATCAAGGTTCCCTCCACGGCAAAATTCGAAGATCAAGGCGTTCTCGTCAACAGCACGAAAGGGCTATAGAGTACTGCCATCCAGAAGTTGCTTTAGCTGAAATCAACAACCCACGGGTGATCCCAAAAAATCGGCCGGCAGCCCCTGGATAAATAATGATAGTATTATCTGCCTCCAACGATTCAAAGACCTCCGAAACCTGGGTGGTTTTTACGATCGATGTTCGCGATTGAGTAAAGACTGTAAAGAGAGCGGCGTTGAGACTGAACTGCTGTGAAGTTTGGGCGTTACGAACGAGTAAATCGAATGGTCGGGAGGATTTTTGGAAGGGTATGACCTTGTCACCTACTCCATTGTTATCCGCCGAAGAACTCGGTGAGAATATCTTTTCCACGGTGACATTTGTTGAGTTCATGGTGAGCAAGGTCTCTTGAGTCGTTTCGGAGTTGGTGTGAATGGGCACATCGTAGTCGACTTGCATTTTGTTCGTGACGAATCCGAATTCTTGGATCGCTGACTGGCTAATGAGGGAAGTCAATGTGTTTATACTTGTAACTGTTTCCTTTTGGTTATATACGGTTGACAAAACGAGCCCGCTGGGAAAGATTAGCGAGAGGTGGAATGACCTAAAGAGTAAGGACGTAGGTCAAAGACTTTATTTGAACGAGTTGTAAAGTTGATTTGGCTTCCTCGATGGATATTTGAATAGATTGTATCTCATGTTCGTTCAGGGCGAATGAGAAAGCGCCCCATTTCCGCCGGAGTCGACTCTTTGACTTGACATTTAGTTGTGCTTGGTGGATGGCGTTCTGGAGCTTCAAGATTTTAATTTGGCAGTTTTGCAGGGCTTTCTCGGTGACGTTATCAAAGGCAACATGTTTATTGAGCTGCTCGATCTGAGAAAGAACAGCAGCCAATACTTCCAGGTCTTGAAAAAGGGCGCGAATATGAGTTGGCGCATCTTTGATGGCCTTCCCCAACTCCACTATTTTCTTGATACTTTCTCCTAGTTGAATAGCAATGGAGACGGCAGCGAAAACACCAGATGCGCTAGAGATGCCGTCCATAGCGAATGATGAAGCAAGAGAGGCAGGTGGAGAGGAATACACTTAAGCACAGTGTGTTAGTGAAGGAGAAAACTTAGCAAGTCGCGACGAGTACGCTTCTCGCTGTTACAGGGCATCTTCGGGCTTCAACATAGCCACTCCACTCCGTTGGCGCCTGGGAGTGGTTATGCGAGTCGCCTTTTGGTGGGTTTCCGATACGCCTCGCTTGTGACCCATATCTCAATGCCACCCAATGAAGAGAAATCCAACAAGCAAGAAGCGTTTCACGAGGCTGCTTGCGATCATTGACAACATGGGGGTGTTATTGTATCCCTATCAAGTGCGACCCTGGTGCCAGTCATGTCTTGCAGTAGACCTTGATCTCAAGAACCCAATCCCTTCATGCCTATGATTACGTGCCAAGAAGCAAGGCCTGTTGTCCTAACCGGCTGGGATGCATTTCTCCAACCCCTTGTCCTGCTCTCACCACTGGGATCCGCCCAGGGAAGGAAGGCAAGGCCTCCAAATTTCCAACAAAATGTTGATCATTCAACCCTTAGGTCGGCCCAGGCCTTTCAACCTGAGATAAACATCACAACCCCAACCGTATAAACTCTGTACGGCGATTCCGCCACCGAAGTATTCTGCGTATGCCCTGCCAAGTGGCAGCCCGTACCCCAGACCAGCAATTGAGCTTCCTTCTCCACCAGCACCAGAAATCGCATTCAGGGCGTCCATGCTCCCACTGCCTGGAGCCTGTCCAGGAAGATCATCTTCTGAGAATGTTGTAAAGGAATATGACCATATGTTTGGCAAAACCTCTGGACTTATCCCGCCGCCTCGATCGCGAATGCGAATTGTGACCCCAGGAGCCGATTCCTCGAAGGGCTTTATTGGGGGATTATCAGTGGGCTCTGCACGGGGCAATGCTTTTTCTATGTCAGCGGCGGACTCTGGCTCTGCAGCGATGGTAATGACAACTGGTTCGTGAGATCTGCCGGATTCGACAGTTGCGCGGAAAGCATTTTTCAGCAGTTCTGTAATAATGTATTCGAGATGTACTGGGACAAAAGCGAAAGTCGTGGCAGGCTCTCCGTCGATGATCCACGTTGGCCGCACACCATATTTGAGTTCGCAGATCTCGGAAACGAAATTCCCACAGGAATTGATGATAGCAGCGGGCTGCAAAGCTGTATCAATGACACCAATGTAGGAGGAGTTGTCCACGTCGACAGGGTGGGGGGTTGACTTTGGGTCTTGATGTGGCTGTGATGATATGTGTAGAGCGATATGCTGTTCCGCAATTAATCGTGTACCAATTCGAGCCCGCAGATGTTCATCCAAGAATCGCGTCACTTCGATAGGATTGATGTACTTCCTACACTCCAAAAAGCCCCGAGCTAGTGTGGGTATCGTGTGCGAGTGTGTCTCGACCAGGTCTGCGAGGACTGCTGTGAATCGTATCTCGTCTTCGAGCGTGGTTATGGTCTTTGTATTGTAGGGAAGGAGGGTCGACAACGAATGCAGGTAGTTGTTGTAGATCTTCGAGATGTTGGGATTCGAGACGACGATGAAGGGGAGGTTTCGAAGAGCTTGTATTCGATGTGCGAGTCGAATCGGGAGAAGTGAGAGGGTGAAGTTGGCGGAAGAAAACAGCGCTTCTGTGCAGAGGGGTGGTCGTCCATGCCTGTGAGAGGAGATTAGCAAGACTTCTGGCCTAGGATACTTTGGCTTTTTTTTTGGCACTTGACTAGATCTGCCAGACTCAGAGCGTGTAGCGGCTGACTTGCGAGGTTTGCAACTTCGTCGTCGGCGATGGTTGTCGAGCTGGGTGGATGGGACCATTTGTGAGCAGACGGTGAAGGGTGCCGTGCAAAACTCGCAGGGCGTGAGAATGGCCGAGAAGGGCATTGAGGTAAGATGGTCCAGTCGCAGGGCCGCAATGGCCGGGAGATTAATTTCATGGTGGCATTTGGGATGTTGTGTGAAGCTCCGTTCTGGCGGCGAGGTCGAGACGGCAGATTTCAAGGAGCTCGGCTCGGCAATGGCTGAGTCCTACATTGAGGGAACTTCGAATTCCCCATTGCAACAGCATCACAATTCGACTCTTAATTGAGCATGACCCTATGTTCATCTGTCTGCTATGTCTACTTTATACGCAGTGGTATACAGTAATTACATTGGATCCCGTATCTTCAGTCCATCCTCATTGCGTCTCTGCCACCCCGTTGCTCTGGACCCCCTTGACATTTGGGGCCTTCTCCATTGTGCTTACTGCATCGGCAGGGAAGTCAACACTGTAGAATGTCAGCTACTTCGGACCATAAAGCAGGCTCAATGGGCTCTTGGGGCCTTACACAAAGCCTGGGGCAGGGCCCTCGCGGTTATCCGTTCCGCTGCCACCAGCTTTACATGGCCCGTGCATCGGAGCGGCTCGCTTAAATTTCAGCCAATCAGAGGGCTGTATTCCATTCCAAACCCTTCGATTTCTACTTCTCCTCATGAAATATATCAAAACAGCTATTATAATTACATAAATGAACGTCGCACTGCTTACACCCAAAGGAGGACGAGTGCTTACTGCTTTCCCGGCCTCTATTAGATGCAATTTCGCTCAATGCGACCCTTTTTCTTGGCCGATCCCCATATCTCAAGTCTTTACAGGCTACGCAGTACCCCCTTTTAGCCATCTTTACTAGCTCGTGCGATTCCACAGGTACCTGTTTAGCTCCCTGGCTAATCTGTGATATTCTTCTCTTTGGACAGATCTCACTGTCTCTCCCTTTAGCTAATAAAGCACTGACTAGCTGTCTCCTGAAATCCTGCTGGCTTCTGAAGCTTATTTCCCTAGGTTCAGGGACATCGCTACATAAAGCTAGTAAATAGCAATTGATCAGAACCGTACGAAGTAGCCAGTGCTCTAGTGCTTGGTGCCCTCCCCGCTCCACGTGCCGTAAACCAGCGTTCTGGGCAGTCAGGTGATCAAACTCGTCAACTGCTCCCATATGATAGTTATATCCATCCGCAATTACAGGAATCGAGAGTATCTTTGTAGCCTGATTACCAAAGGGTATTCGTGCAGTCTTCGCTTTAGAAGAAGTCTCCTTAGGCCTCTTCCTTAGCCGTAAAACACGCTCGTCACCTGACATAAAGGAAGACATCATTAAAACAAAGGCTTGATCTTTCCACCCAACGTGACACACTTCTCCATTAGGCGTATACCTGGAATACGTTTCACCCCAGGGTATTACGTCCTTTTTGTCAGATTTCTGGAGGTCAAGAAGCTCCTTAATAACCCCACCAGTTGTCCTGCAAGTCCCAGTAATCGCAACTCCCTGGGAGCGAGCATATTGGACAAAGCGAGTAGAAACAAAGAGATTATCAAGGTAAACGTGATATCCAGAGCCCTTAGGAAGCTTGGGCAACCTTTTAATCAAGTGCAGAACTACTGCTTGTGTCTTATTTCCCCCATTTCCAGCCTTAATTGTCCCACCAAGCTCTCGTGGAGTACGTACTCCCACAGGCCCATTTTTTTGACCAGGAATATGCCAGTTCCATACGAGTAAGAACCCCCTTTGGGCTGCCCCCCAGACCTTATATCCTGTAGGTATGGGCTTGTTTGGAACAGTGGTTGTTTCTTTGGATCGACCTTCAAATCGTACGATTATCTCATCGATTGCCAAGTCCCGTCCAGGCTTCCAAATACCCAAATTAACCTCTTGAATGTGTATACTAAAAGCTTCAACCTGCTCGGCAATTTATTAGCTAGTTTCAGGTAAAATGAACCGAGTAATAGGGGCTACCTTCTCATATGGGCCTTGTTCCTGATTTCCATGGAATCGCATACGCATATGGAGCTCCTGAAACCGATTCCTACTCAAATACTTCGTAATTGGATGCTCAGGTGTCATATCCTTCGTTGTCCAATAGTCTGCGATCTCATTGTCCACATGCAAGCTCATATATATTCGAATCGCAAGGTAGATATATATCTCTCCACGGCATGTTGGGTACCAATCGTTTGCTCGTGCGTAAGGGCCAGATTCGTCTGAAGGTTTTCGCATATAGTTATTTGTCTTCTCAACTATCAGATCGATAATTTTGGGGGTATAGTACATAGTAAACAAAGTAATAGGATCATCTGGAGAGACGTCTTCAGGTAAGGTGATTTCCCAGCCGAATTGGGGCAATTGCATAGGCTTGAAAGCACTTCCCTGCTTGCGCAATGGATCTTCATTAGGCCGAAGGGTTCCTTTATCAGTGGAATCAAATACGGTAGCGTCTGGCATCCTGATTGTGGTGCAATTGATGATTTAATTGAGTATTCAGTGGTTTATTTACATGTAAACAGGAACCAGAGTTTCGGTGTTCCTCCGGAATAATGGTTTTTCCGACGCACGGGCCATGTAAAGCTGGCGGCAGCGTAGCGGATAAGTGGAGACGATCCTTCCGCCTTGGTCTCGGGCGTACTGATGCGCCCTGTGGAGGAATCAGTACAGTACAGTACATAGAAGAAAGCTTGACGAGAAGGGGCACGCGTACGCTTCGTAGTCCTTCTTATTCAGTTCTTTCTTGAGGGAGACCTGGCTTCCTTTTAGTACTGGTTAATCGAGTGGCCACGCGGGAATCATTACTATGTACTCAGGCATTTTTGATCTGATTGATATTTACGGAAACGTTCATATTGTTTTATATGAAATTCGGGGTTGAATCTTTATGTCTTTATGAGCAGGCTCTTTCGGTAGGGGAGGGGGGGACTTTCCTTTTTATATGTTTCTCTAGATTTGACAACGCGTTTGTGGGACAAGGACTGGGCTTGAGGACTTGTGATAGCCTGAAGTACGTCATAATTGTAGCTCACTGACGCGCGCTGATAGCAACAGCAGATTCTGTGCCAGGGGCAACGCTGCTCAAGGGGGAAAGACGAGATCCGGTCCTTTTTCTTTTACTTGCAGGACATTCTTCACTGGCGTTCTCAGATGCTGCACCTCATTTTTGAAGATCCGAGTTCTCATGTTGCTCAGTTGGCATCGGAGTGAGGTAAACTTAGATAAGCCGATAAGACGATCGCGCTAGTTGTAGCCGCCAAAATGGGATTAGATTCATTCCCCACAGAAAAAGTTCCCGCAGAAAATATTTGGAGAAGATATTCCATGCTCAGGATGAAGGAATAATTACAGCCACAGTCGAGGCATGATGGAGGATCAATCAAATAGGCCGCATCGGCCCTCGAAGGAGAAGAAGAAGAAGAAGCATACTGGAGGTAAGCCAATCCACTACCCGTTCCTTTGCGCTCGCTGACTTTTGCAGACCGCAATCCAAAGGCCTTCAGCTTCGCAAACCCAGGACGATTAGCAAAGTCTGCAGCTCGGTCACATGATGTGAGTATGGAAGTTTCTCTCTTTAGATCCTGCTGATCTCTGTAGATCAAAGAAAAACGGCTGCATGTCCCCCAAGTCGATCGAATACCTGAAGAACCCCCTCCACGACTCGTCACAATCGTTGGACCTCCCGGTGTTGGAAAGACAACCCTCCTCAAATCCCTCGTCAAGCGATACGCCAAAGAGACCCTCTCAGATCCCCAAGGACCCATCACTGTGGTGACTTCGAAGCGGCAACGGTTAACATTCGTAGAATGCCCCAACGAACTCGAAGCAATGGTGGACATGTCGAAGGTGGCAGACATTGTGCTCCTGATGATTGACGGAAACTTTGGCTTCGAAATGGAAACAATGGAGTTCTTGAATATTTTGGCAGCGAGTGGGATGCCCGGAAACGTCTTCGGAATCCTCACACATCTGGACCTCTTCAAAAAACCACAAACATTGAAAGATGCGAAGAAGAGGCTGAAGAACAGGTTCTGGAGCGAGTTGTACCAGGGAGCACATTTATTCTACCTATCCGGAGTCATCAACGGGCGATATCCGGACCGCGAAATCCACAACCTTTCTAGATTTATTTCCGTCATGAAGAACCCCCGACCTTTGATCTGGCGAAATGCACACCCCTATACAGTTATCGATAGTTTTCGAGATATTACACATCCTACGAAGATCGAGAACGACTCGAAATGCGATCGAACTGTTGTATTATCAGGATATCTGCGGGGAACAAATTTTGCTGCACAAGGTCAACGAGTACACATTCCAGGACTGGGAGACTTTTCGATTTCTGCCATGGAAGAATTACCAGATCCATGCCCAACGCCATACATGGACCAAGCAATTGCAAAGGCTACGGGAAAAACTGGGAGGAGGCGTTTGGACGAGAAAGAGAAGAAACTTCATGCACCCATGTCGGATAAAAGTGGGTTGAAGATTGATGGAGACACGATTTGGATTACCCGGGAAAAGGGATTCAACTTCGACAAGGACGCAGATGGTGAAGAGCGGGGCGAGGGAGAGGAGTTGATTGTGAATCTTCAGAACGAAAGAAGGCTTCTTGGAGAGACGAATGAGGGTGTACGATTATTCAGCGATGGAACCGCAATCACTAAGGTTGCAGAGGAGGAAAGCACTGGTCGGAAACACCAACGTTCTGCGAGATTTCTCGAACGAGAAGATGATTCGGAAGAGGAGGTGGGTGTGGATGATGAGGGCTTCGTTAGTGGTGACGAGCTCGACCCAGAGGACGATGTTGAGATTACAGAAGAGAAGTTGGGGAAAGCTTTCCGGAAAGCGGATGATAAAGTCGATGGCGATATTGCATTTGCAGATAGCGATTCGGATCTTGGGTCTATCTCTGGTGACGAAATGGATGAAGACGAATCCCCGGACGAGGAAGGCGGTGCCGCTCGATGGAAAGAAAATATGCTGGAAACAGCACAGAAGTTGCATGGAAAGAAGAGATCATTTCGAACCTCTGATCTGGCGAAGCTTATGTACGATGAGTCTCTCACTGCCGCCGAGGTCTTGAAAAGATGGCGTGGGGACGTCGGGGAAGATGAGGAAGAGGACGAGGTTGAAGAGTCCGATGACGAGACGTTCTTCAAGAAGTCCGGGCGTGAACAGGGCGACGAGAAAGTCGAAGATCGTGCCATCCCTATTCTGGACTACGATGCCCTGGAAGAAAAATGGACTGTCGAGGACAATGTTGAAGCTTTGCGTCAACGATTCGCCACGGCTGATCTCCTGCGAGAGAAGAACACAGATCCAAGTGGCAGTGACGGCAGTGAGAATGAGGATTCAAACGATGAAGGTGATGGAGAATTTCAGGACCTCGAGGCTGAGGAAGACCACAAAGAGGACGACATCGAAGCCGAGCGAGAGAAGAACGCGCGGCGGAAAGAAGAGCTCAAGCTGCGATTCGAAGAAGAAGACCGAGAAGGTTTCAACAACGACAAAGCCAAAGCACGCCGTGGAGGGGCAGAAGATGAGGAGTTTGGGGAAGACGACTGGTACGATGCGCAGAAGGCACAAATCCAGACGCAGCTCAATATCAATAAGGCAGAATTCGAACTCCTGGATGATAGTCAACGTGTTAATGTTGAAGGCTTCAGAGCTGGTATGTACGCGAAGATTGTGATTGAGGGTGTGGCCTCCGAGTTTGTCACGAAATTCAACCCACGTATGCCGATCATTATTGGAGGATTGTCAGCTACGGAAGATCGATTTGGTTTCGTACAAGTCAGGATCAAGCGACACCGATGGCACAAAAAGATTCTCAAGACCAACGATCCTCTCATCTTTTCACTTGGCTGGCGGAGATTCCAAACCTTGCCCGTTTACAGCATATCGGACTCTCGGGTTCGCAATCGAATGCTCAAGTACACGCCCGAGCATATGCATTGTTTTGCGACATTCTTCGGGCCCCTCATTGCACCCAACACTGGCTTCTCATGCTACCAATCCTTCTCCTCCAAGAACCCCGGCTTCCGAATTGCTGCTACTGGAACAGTATTGAACGTCGACGAAGCCACCGAGATCGTCAAGAAGCTCAAGCTTACCGGAACGCCCTACAAAATCTTCAAAAATACAGCCTTCATCAAAGACATGTTCACCACTGCGGTAGAAATCGCCAAGTTTGAAGGCGCCTCTATCAAAACTGTCTCCGGCGTCCGTGGCCAGATCAAGAAAGCGCTCAGCAAACCAGAAGGCCATTTCCGCGCCACATTCGAAGACAAGATCCTAATGAGCGACATTGTCTTCCTTCGAGCATGGTACCCCGTCCGCCCCCATCGCTTCTACAACCCAGTCACGAACCTCGTTGGTTGGGAAGGGATGCGATTGACTGGCGAAGTCCGCCGCGACGAAGGGCTTCCAACTCCGCAGCAGAAAAACAGCCAATACAAGCCCGTCGAGCGAGTAACGAGAGTTTTCAATCCTCTTCGTGTTCCTCGTGCTTTAGCGGCTGAGCTTCCTTACAAGAGTCAAATCGTGCAGACGAAACCGCAGTCCAAGCAGACGTACATGCAGAAACGAGCCGTGGTTGTCGGAGGGGAGGAGAAAAAGGCAAGAGATCTGATGCAGAAGATCATGACTCTGAGGAACGAGAAGGTTGCGAAGCGTAGAGTGGCGAAGGAAGAGAAACGAAAGGAATATAGGAAGAAAGTTGAGGAGAATGCAGAGAAGAGGGAAGAGCGGGAGAAGAAGGAGAAGCAGGATTACTGGAGGAAGGAGGGGAAGAAGAGGAGGGCAGATACAGATGGCGGTGGGGGTGGGAAAAGAAAAAGGTAGATCATTTTTGGCGGCGTTTTGGTGTTGGACATGTACGGAGCAAGTGTCGCATCTTGAGCTAAATGGAGCAATTAACGTTGAATTGATACACTAGGTTGCAACTGAATCATGGTCTGGTTGTTCACCCTGACATCTAATTTTCGAGTGGCACTTGGGTTCGCCTGGGGAAAGATACAATAAGACATTGTTTTCCGAATTTTGTTTGTTATAATAGAAGACTAACCTATCGGAAACATCAAGGGCCCGCAGCCCAGAAGAAAACTTGTGTACGCAAAGGGGGTATAAAACATGGCCTCCTGCCCATCGCGAAAGTGATATTTTCCCATTATCCGTCCTGAACAAGCAACCAAGAAAAGAGATGTGACTAGCCACGGGATATCAACCAATCTGAATTTGGCAAACCTTATCCACTAAACGTTCCAGAGTACCACCCACTCCCTCTAAACATGGGACGTGTGAGTATGAGTATTGTGGGTGTGAACCTCCATAGCAGGGTCATGTTTTCCGCTGCGCTCGTTGCGTGTACGCCAGCAGTGCAGAGCTGCCATCAACGTAGTCGCACAGAACAAGAGCCTGCAAACAGAGATTAGTATCTTACTTGACTCAGACTTGTTTGAAAACTTACCATTCAAAGGCAGCAAACACATCACCAGCAATGGCCGCTCTGCAAGGTCCCCATTCTTCTTGACCACGTCGCCCATTGCATCCAACGTCCGTCAGCAACACTGCAAGTGCAATGAAACCGGCAAACCAAAACAGCATGGTGAGGACCTCAGCCACCAGAATTCCGAACTTGTGCGCAGCGGTCGGGTATCTTGCAGGCGCGATGATCAGGTATATGAGTGCGAGGAGCGTCCAGACCGCGGTAAAGATTAGAAAGTTGATCTGGGAAGGTGACCACCACCAAGCCCAGTTATTGGCAGCTGCGAAGTCTCTGTTAGAAGTTTGACTGCGACCGAGGAAGGGAGAAAGCTACCATATGCAAGGACACCCAGAACGATCATCGCGAAGAGTCCCTGAATAGCCCGAATGGGGAGCATAAAGGCAGCGAGAGCGAGACCCATGATGGCGAGTTTTGATCCGACAAGAAGGCAGGAGTGCGTACTTGAGTATTGCTTGGATTTGATATTCGAGATTCTCTCGGATGTCGTTCGGAGGAAGTGCAGAAGTTGACGTGGAGCTGTGTGTCGACTTGCACTCGTAACCTACCGAAGCGGAGCTTTAATATTTTCTTCGTGGTAGTGTCATGATGTCTCCAAGTGGCGGTGATTCACCTACGGGACCGTTTTCAGGTTTTTGAATCCTTGAACATCGCATGTTGGCGTATGACGTAGATGCGCAAACCAGGTGATGGGATTCGCGACTCGCATCCAGGACACATGATTGCGATCAAGAAAATTAACTTGGCCATAATCCTGCTGTAGCGCAATGCGGGGTCGTGAATGGCACACGTCGGATACTGCCGCCCCATGCTCGGCATTGGAGCCAGCTTGACCTGGGCTTGACACATCGAAAACCGAGAACACCCGGCCAAGACAGATATAAGATATGAGGTGACATTTTATTCTAGCCCTAACTCCCTGTGTGATTTGAAGATGTACCAAGCAAAGCAGGGCAGAGCAGAGCAGAGCAGAGCAAAGCAAAGCAAAGCAAAGCAGAGCAAAGCAAAGCAAAGCAAAGCAAACCCGGGATATCTCGTACAGCATCTCAGGCGCCCCGGCCACTCTATCAGCCTGCAGCCTCCTGCTCGTCGGCCTCCTTCAACCGTCGAATCAGATCAACCTTCTTCTCACCACTCCTATGTTTGATTCCTCTTCGGAAGCATATCATCTCCAAAGATCCCGCGTACAGATCCTCATACTCGACAGAGCCCGTGTCGAGCCACTTAAGCATTGCAGCTTTCGGACCGTGGCCTGGCATTCCCCTACGTGAACAGATCTCGCTCAATTGCCGTTGGGTTCTGGATGCCCAATGTGAGTCACGCCAATCGTAGTCGCATATTGGTATTCTAGGTCGACTGTTCACCGCATCCCGTTCAACTTGATTGTCGATAGCCTGAAAATCGGCCTCTGGCCCTCCTCTACAAACACCGTGATCTCCAACTGCATGCCCGATTTGTGTCTCCAACTGTTTCTTCGCGGAAAGGAATTCCTCTCTCGCTTTTGAGATATCTTTGATGAGCTTTTGGCGGTCACTGGCCCGGAGTCGGTTGATATTATCTTCTCGTGTACCGGTGGTTGGTAATTTGCGATCCTTGAGGAGCGCACCAAGCTTCTTCAGCGTCCATGTCGAGGTCGAGTATGATCGATCCTCCCCAGCAATGAAGGCCTCCTGCTTAGCGACCAGTCTATCCAGGGACCATTTTTTAACATCAGCTTCCACGTAGAGCTTTGTGTCCTCCCAATTGGAAGTGTCTCGATCCACCGCATCGTTGATTTCCAGCCTCTGGATCTTGATGGCCTTCGGGCCCGTTGCAGCATTTGTAACATGGCGACTCTTCAGCAACTCGGTCAATTGCTCGGAGGAGTATATGTTGTAGTCGAATGTTGATGTTTCAAGTCGAGCAATCATGTCCTCGCGCGTACCCGATGTAGGCAAAAGCCGATCGGAGAGCAGAACATTAAGCTTGCTGTTGTCCTTGGTTTTGTAGTTGATCTCTCGCGGGCGGCTTGTGCAACCTCCGTCTGGCGGAGGAGACCCAGCCCTGTTGTCGCGGTTTTCAGGTGCACAATTCCCTGCGTCGCTATCTCCTAAATACGTAGAGCCTGGCAGGTGTAATCGGTGTCTGGTATTGTCCGTTGACTTGATTTTCGAAGGCGGCTGTCTTTCGTTTTCGCGGAGCGATGCCTTCGGTAAGGATGGAGCCTCTGTGCCAGAGGATTTATTTCGAGTTGCGTTGCACCCTGATCCAATTAAATTCCCATCTTTATCACCTTCCAGTATGCCTCCGTCCGCTGTCTTTCTCGTTCTTCCTGTGCTGGTCTTCGAAGATTTCGGGCTGGATGCGAGACGCGACGCGTTTGGATCAACTTCCGCCAGAGGTCTCTTTGCGCGAGGCATTGCCGCGAAATCTGGAAAGTACTCGTGGGTGGTGGGACGAAGAATCGCAGTGGTTGGAGACAGAAGTGTTGTCTTGATATCTTTTCGCGATCGATGTTGTTGGGCTGCGAGGTTGAAAATGAGTTCTAATCGTTCGGCGGTTCTTACCTACAACTCACTTAGCACGCCTTGTAGGTGAAGGATAGCGATACGCAAAATTTTTCCCCACATTCACGCATCACTCACCAAAATGCCACTCAAACCACATGAGATCGAGATGCTCCGGAGACAGTTCTCCTAACGGAGGCTTCTCTTTGCAAACTTTGCAGACAGAAGAAGTTTAGCTTCAAGATGTGCTTTAATGCACGTGATTTGCTTTCGATTCTCCTTAGGTGATTTTATCTGAGCGGCTATGTTCAGCATCCTAGCGAACCGGTGGGAGTGTACGAACCAAATATTGCGTAGAAACCAAGTGGTGTGTAAACACCATACAGTGGCAGAAAGCAATTGATGTGTAGACACCAAATGTGCAAGGGTCACGAAAGAAGAGGATGTGGCTTGCTCAGCCTTGCTCTTGATGCAACTCTTGTTTCAGCCCCGCGACCCCACTCTTTCCATCAAACGCCTTTTCATTCCACGATATATATAGTCCCGTTCTTCCGCAAGGGAAACCAAATATTGACCCCTCGAGTTTGCACATTTTACACCACGACCGCTTAAGTCATATTTCAGATCGCCAGCCTCGTCAGAGTCGACGGAAGTACAACGAACCCAACACTCCAACCAGTTTCAGCTGAACTCCAGACGATAAACTCGATCTCCACACCTTGCATGCTCACCCTCCAGCAAGCCAAGAATGGATCATGAAGGCGACGCCGTCATGGGCGACTATCCTCCCGAACCTAACATCCCTCAACTTCCAACGCAATCCCCTCTTGCAAACTATACCACGACCTTTGGCAAGTTCAAAGGGGAAAAAATCTGCGAACTCCCACCCTATAGCACCCCGCTATGGTACTCTCTGAGAGTACCATGACTTTTTATTAGGAGGGTACCAAGGAATTCGAAAGTCGTATGGTACCCTCTAAAAGTATTAATAAACTTAATAGAAAATTTTATATATCGAATCTTCTAATTTTAGCCGATTTTTGGACCCACTTTTTATAAGAATCGGCCTTATATAAGCTAGGTTATTAATAAGTAAAGCTAGAAAGTAGCTAAAAACACAAATAATTTTTAACTTAGGCTATTTCTTATATAAAAGGCCCAAAATTTAAATATAAGCTCTTATAATAGTATAAAGCTAGACTAGCGGCTAAAAAGTCTAAAAATAGATTTATAATATAGTAAAAGAAATTTTAGTTTGATTTTTCTAAGGTTTTTAAACTTAACCCTAATAGCTTAATAACTAGAACCTTTCCAAGTAAGTTTTATATTATATTTAGGTTTATTATATATAAAACTAGTTATATATAGATTTTTAGCTAATTCTATTAATAGTAAGTCTAAGTATTTAAGTAGAAATACTTATATCTCAAGCTAAGACTAAGAGCTTAATTTATATATTAGAAGTTTTAGGTAAGCTATAATAGAAGTACTACTTCTATATATTATAGGATAAGGGCTATTAAAAGAGCTACTTTATATGAGAATCGGACTACTACTTCTTTTTTAATTAATTTTAAAAGAATTAAAATAAGAGAAAGTCTTAGATTCTTTAATAAAATTATAATTATAATATTAAATATAATAAAGCTAAGGCCTATATATAATATATTATATTCAGGAATTCCAAATATAAGCTTTTTATTAAGTTCGCATTACTAATATCTTTTTAACTAATTTTAATCTAATAAAACTAAGGGAAATCTTAGGTTCTTTAATAGAATCTTAATTATAATATAGAATATAATAAGGCTAAAGCTTATATATAGTATATTATATATAGGGTTTCTAAAAATAAACCTTTTATTAAGTTCGGATTAGTAATATCTTTTTTATTAATTTTAACTTAATTAAAGTAAAAGAAATTCTTAGATTCCTTAATAAAACCTTAGTTATAATATTAAATATAATAAAACCAAGACTTATATATAGTATATTATATTTAAGAATTCCAAAAATAAGCTTTTTATTAGAATTAAGTTAATAGAACTAAAAGTTATTAGGAGATTTACCTAAGACCTTAAAATAAGCTCGGCTAGTCTCGCTTGCAAGTAGTACTTAAGGAAATCAAATAAGAACTTCAAAAATCAAAAAAACCTATATATTAGAATAATAAGTATAATTCTATTAATACTAATTATAATAATATAAGTCTCTTATATATATAAGCTTAAGAAATACCTTTTATATATATAATATTAATAAATAAAATAGAAATAAAAAATAAAAAATATATTTTTAAAGAATTTAATAAATTAATTAACTAAAAAGATATAATATTATATCTTTAAGATTTTATTTAGTTAAAGGAAAGATAGTTATTAATATTAAAGATTTCGAAGTTCTCTTTAAAGCCCCCTTCGAAATTCCCTCCGAGATTTTCTCTGAAATTCCCTTTGAAATTTCCTTTAAAAACCTCCTCGAGAACCATATCCTTATTAATAGCCAGGCTATTAGTAAGATTAAAGGCTTGAGTAACTTTAAGGGCTTCGATTTCAGTCTTAAGCTTTTTGTTCTCTTCTAATTATTTAATTAGCTAATAATTAATAATTATATAATAGTTATTAGTTACTTTTAAGTATCTTATATAAAAGTTAATAGTTGGCTTTATTTTTAAAAGCTATATTGTACTTTTGCTTTATAAGCTAGTAAGAAGTTATAGACCTAATTAAATTATTAATAATTTGTTTTTTTAATATAAATAGAAGCTATACTACCCCTTATGCGAGGCCCCTTTTTCGGTAAAAGGTGAGAATGCCAGTGTATTAATTGGTGCGTGTGCTGCTAACTAATGCACTTTCCGATAAAAGGGATTTCGGTAAAGGGGCACCTCCCCTACTACCTTTTAATGAGTATTCCCTTATCTCGAAGTGTATTCTCGTTATGTTATTATATAATCTAGCTTGTAGAGTTGCTATCTACCATGCCTGTAAGTCCTGTATTATTCTAGAGGCATATAGTCAAGAGCGGTACCTGCGAGCATAGCTATACCAACTCTTGGGAGACGAGCTCAAGGCGACTGCAAAGCTTCTTAGTAGCTACCTCTTATGTGAGGCCCCTTTTTCGGTGAAAGGTGAGAATGCCAGTGCACTGATTGGTGCGTGCGCTGCTGACTAATGCACTTTCCGGTGAAAGGGATTTCGGTAAAAGGGCACCTCCCCTACCACCCCCCACCCCCCTTTAAATAAGCATTCCCTTGTCTCGAAGTACATACTCGTCATGTTCTCGTATAATCCGATTCACAGGGTTACTATCTGCCATGTCTGCAAGTCCTGCGTCATTCCAGGGGCACGTAGTCAAGAGCGGCACCTGCAAGTGCAGCCACACCGACTCTTGGGAGACGAGCTCAAGGCAACTATACAGCTCCTCAGTAGCTATAACCTGAGGAGTATAGCCTACCCCTACCCCTTATGCGAGGCCCCTTTTTCGGTGAAAGGTGAGAATGCCCGTACGCTGATTGGTGCGTGCGCTGCTGACTAATGCACTTTCCGGTAAAAGAGATTTCGGTAAAGGGGCACCTCCCCTACTACCTTTTAATGAGCATTCCCTTGTCTCGAAGCATATTCTCGTTATATTATTATATAATCTAGCTTATAGAATTGCTATCTATCATGCCTGCAAGTCCTGTATTATCCTAGAGGCATATAGTCAAGAGCGGCACCTGCGAGCGCAGCCATACTAACTCTTGGGAGACGAGCTCAAGGCGACTGCAAAGCTTCTTAGTAGCTATAACTTGAGGAGTATAGCCGAGCTAAGAGAGTATAAGCCCCGGCCTAAAGACAAGTACCAGATAACTGAGTACCTAGTTAGCTATAATAGCATTTACTATTTATAGCCGCAGTATAGCTATAGTACCTGCCTATAGGGCCGGGTCTTATATATTAAAACAAGGAATTACTTTGCAAAACTCCATTGCCTAGTATAGGCTAAGCAAGAACTAACTATAATTGAATAGCAGTTACTAAAAGGCCTAATAGTATAATAGTAGTATATAGAGTTAGCAAACTCTATAGCCTAGATTCGATTCCTAGTTAGGCTCCTGATTTGCTTCTCGATAAATACTCCTATAGCATTTAGTAATAAGTAGATCCATTTTTTTTAGTCTTGTTTTTTGAGTAAGAAATACTATATAGGGATACTAGTCTAGCTTTAAGAAGTATATAAAGCCCTCCTCGCCCGCCCTTTGCCTCTCTTTCTCTTCTTCCCTTCTCTTTTCCTGCTTTCTTCTCCTCTAGCCGCTTTTCCTTCTCTTCTCCTTACTTTCTCCTAATTAAATAAGCAAGAAGTAGAGGTAATACAAGAACCAGAATAGCAAAAGAATTAGTAGCTAGTTATATTCTAGGGTTTTACCCCCTAAGCTTTCCTATATAGGTCATTTTATTAGGTACCCATCCCGGGGGGAAACTACTTATATTACCTGCCGGGGCTTTAAATCTATAGTCAGCTCACTAGTATAGTATACTCGAGACTATTTATAGACCGACTGCCCTGCTCCCTTCTTCCGGAAGGCTATTAATACCCGAAATAGTAATAAGGAGGCCAGAGCTTCTATTATATTATAACTAAGGAATTGCTATAATAATAAGAATATATATAATTAGTTCTAACTATATTACGAAGGCTTAATATTAGGCTTTTAATAAATCAAAAAAGCTTATTTTAATATATATAACCTAGAACCAAAGTAAATATAGTTATATACTTGCTTAAGTCATATAACTATATTTACTTAAGGCATTCTAGTAAAATCCACTAGCTAATTTAATTATAAGTACTATAAGCTAGTAGAATATATAGCCTGGCTTAAATTAACCTAGCCCCTTTAAAGGAAAAAGTTATATAATTATATATTATTTGGGCCCTCTTTTACTTAGAAATAAGAAATTAGTTTCTAGATTCTATTATATAATATAAGCTAAATAAGTATATTATATACTTTTTTATAATATCTTAAATTTAATTATTTATAAAACTCTTATCTTTTTTATTCTTTTTACTTTTCTTTATTATTTAAATTTTTAAAGTAATTTATAAAACTTAATATATTTATTTTTCTAATAATCTAATCTAGTTAAATATTAAAAGAAAATATAAAATTAGAGTTTAGATTCTAAGTTTATTAGAAATAAATAAAAGAAATTAACCTAGTATTATTATAAATATAAATTATATTAATATAATAAATTACTATAAATAATTTATATAATAATAATAAAAAGAAAAGAAAACTTAAAAATATAAAAGAATTTCTAAAATTAAAATATATTTTATTTATAATATTTAAATTATAAATAAAAGAAAAAATAAGAAAAAGAAAAGAAGAAATAGAAAAGAAAAAGAAATAAGATTTTATTTAAAAGAAATAAAAGAAATTTTTTATATATTAAAGGAAAAAATATAAGAATTAAAATTAAAGAAATTTAGTACTATATATAAAAAGAAAATATTTAAATTATAAATTAAATTCTAAGTATATTTTTAAAATTTAAAATATTAAAAGAATAAGAAAAAAAGAAAGATAAAATATAAAAAGAATTATAAAAAGAAGAAAGAAGAAAGATAAAAAAGAGATTAAAGAAATATAATAAAAGAAAAAGTAATAATAATTAAAATAAAGAAAAAGAGAGAAAAAGAGAAGATTAAAAATTAATAAAATAAAATAAAGAAAAGAAGAAAATAAATTAAAAAAGAAAATAGATAAAAGAAAAGAATAAATTAAATAGTCAAATGCCTGAAAAGCGGGCACGTAAGCGAGGCGGTTTTAAAAAACACATATTAGTAAGAAGCTCTCTTACTAAAATCATATAGTTAATAACTTAATATTAAATAACGGGCAAATAGCTATAAGTTAGGTACTAAAATAATTATATATTACCAGG